GCCTCACCCCTCTGTCTGCATGTCCTGCGGCTGCTGTAACGAACCACCACAAATTCGTGGCTTACCACAGCACCAGGGCTGTTCAAAATGGGTCTCGCTAGTGTCGGGGGATATTGAGGTATGGGGGGGGGGCGGGGGGGGCAGGGGGGGCTGCTCGCCTTTCTGGAGGGTCTAGAATGCACTTCTTGCCTCTTCCTGCTTCTAGAAGCTGCTCATTCCTGAGCTCACGGTCCCCCTTCACAGTCAAAGCCGGCTAGGTGGTGGGCTCCCTCTGCCTCTGTCTACACATTCAGGGCTCCTGTGGTGACGCGGGGCCCGCCCCCCTGTACAGTTCAGGGCCACTCCTGGCTGCGGGTCAGCGGGCGCCCATCTCAGCCCCGTCTGCACCTTCATTCGCCCTCCCACTCCCTGCCCCCTGCGTGGCCTTCCTCTCCTCCCCGACCATCCTCTGCTCCAGCCACACCGGCCGTCCTCCTCAGGGCCTCCACACTGGCTGTTCCCTCTGCCCGAGTGCTGTGCCCTGGCTGCGCCCACGGCTCCCTCTCACTTCTTCATGCCTCTGCTCAATGTCACCGCCTCAGAGAAGTCTCACTGGACCTCCCTATGGAAAATCGGGCCCTCCGCCCCCCTGGCCCCCCTGGCTCCTCCCCCGGCTCCTCCCCCACCTCCCCTCCTGCTTCTGCACAGCGCGAACCACCTTCCAATGTCTGTGCGGTTCTCCTGCATCTTACGTAGCTGCTTCCCGTGGAAGGTGAGCTCTGTGGGAGGAGGGCGCAGGCGCTTTTGTCTGTTTGGGTCCCGGCTGCGTCCTGGGGCCTGTGGTCATGTTGGCACATAGTAGGTATGCAGTGAACGTGTGCCGCTTGGACGAATGCATGGCCCCCACTGTGATCTGCTGGGCGCCCGGCCCTGTGGGCCCTGTTTTCCCGCCGGCTCCCAACCCGGGTCTCCCGCCAACGCCTGGGGCTGGGGCCGCACTGTAGTCTGGCTTCCGTCCTCCTAAACCCGCCCCCGCCCCTGCCCCCGCCCGGGATGCCATGGCCCTTCTTCCCCTGGCCCGGCAGCCGCCAGTCTGCGTTCTGTCCCCGGGGCCTGGCCTGCTCTGGACGCGTCATGCGAATAGCCACCCAGCTGTGGCCTCTACCGTTGGCTTCTTTCCCGCAGCATGTCTGCGAGGCTCATCCACGTCGCGGCGTGTCGCAGGACCGCAGTCCTCTGTGTGGCCAGGTAATGGTCCACGGGGGGGATGTGCCACTTTTCGCTGACCCTGGTGGCGATTTTAATGTTCCTCACGCATTTCAGCTGCTTTAAGCGTCTACAGCTGGGCTGCGGTGCAGGCCTGTGCGTTAGGTGAGAAGACTGGGCGACTGTTGCTGACACAAGACCGGGTGGTGGGAAGGGATGCAACTAGGGGGAGGGGCCACACAGACGACAATGGTCACCCACGGGCTCCCCGACCCCCTTCCGGGTGTGCGCGTGCGCCTCACACCCTGGTCCAGTGGGATGTTCGTTCCTAAACGTGAAAAAAGCTTTAAAGATGAGTGCAAAGCTCTTTATTTTTTAAAATATATTTTTACTAGAGGCCCGATGCGCGAAATTTGTGCAAGAGTAGGCCTTCCTTCCCCCTGCTGCTGGCACTGGCCTCCCTCTGGCCGCCCACAGCCACCCAGGACCCAGGCTTCCCTCCAGCCCTGGCTTCGTCCGGAAGGACGTCCAGTCTAATTAGCATATTACCCTTTTATTATTATAGGTTGCCTTCAGAGAGGAAGGGAGAGGGAGAGACAGAAACATCAATGATGAGAGAGAATCATTGATTGGCTGCCTCCTGCACGCCCCACACTGGGGACCGAGCCAGCAAACCGGGCCTGTGCCCTGACTGGGAATCGAACTCTGACCTCCCGGTTCATAGGTTGGCCCTCAGCCACTGAGCCCGCCGGCCGGGTGGGTGTAAAGCCCTTTAAACGTGCGGTTCTGTCTATAACAGCTTCCTGAGCCCTCATCCCGCTTCCCACACTCAGCACGTGCTGGCGCTCCGTCCGCGCGCTGAGCATCTTGTCCGTGTTGTGCCGCCGCCAGCGTCCAGTCCCTGAGGCTCTCGTTCTTCCCAGAAGGAACCCTGTCCCCGCGGAGCCGTGGCCCCAGCCCCGGCCTCGCCCATCTCTGTGCTGCCTCTCAGGGCTTCCGGCCTGGACACTTCCCGCGAGCAGAACCATCCCGCGCGTGGCTTCTCTCCCTGAGAACCAAGTTCCCGAGCTTCCTTCCCGCCGGGGGCAGTCAGCTCTTCAGCCCCGCGTGTATGGCCAGTCCTCCTGCGTGGCGCCAACAGACCCCATTGCAATCCCCATCGCAACCCCCACTGCAAACCCCGTCACAACCCCCGTCGGTGGCGGTTTTCAGGTTCCTCGATCACTTCAATGTGAGCCTCTGTGGGGAGACGCACTGTGGGCTCTGGGGCCCCAGGGGGCCTTCCACTCCTGCTGGATCCACGCAAATTCTCTGGGAGCGTGGACAGTCTTCCGGCTGCACAATGCCCACTGCAAGTGCACAGGCTGTAGCAGCGGCCGTGGGCTTGAAACCACCCCCCCCTCGCCGCCCCCACCCCCCATGGGTTCTGCTGGACTGAGCCCGGGGACAGGCCCATCTGCAGTCCCGGGCTGAGCAGAGAAGGCGGCCCAATGCCAGGGTGGCTTTTCTTGTTTTGCAGAAAGCACACACACACGCACACGCACACACAGGCACCCGCACACACACATGCACACGCACACACCCGCACCCACACCCGCACACACCCGCACCCGCACACACACATGCACACGCACACACCCGCACCGCACACACACATGCACACGCACACACACCCGCACACACATGCACACGCACCCGCACACAAGCACACGCACATGCACACACATGCACACGTACACACACATACACACGCACACACACACGCACATGCACACACCAGGAGGGCCGCAGAGCGTAGATCTGATGGGAAGGCCGGCTTCGAGGCATGACATCACTCGGAGAACATAAATCTTGGCGGTGGTTTATTTATGTTGAGAAATCCACACACACTGCGTTTCAATGGCTTTGTTTAAGCGATCGCTTTTCCTTTCTAGTGGCCGGCGGAGCGAGGGTAAACAGGTCCAGCTGTACAAATCCACAGCGGAGGTGAAGCCAAGGTGATTATTACACAGAAAAGCCGGGGGGGGGAGGGCCCTCGTCCTCTGGGGGAGAATCACCCGCTGCCGGAGGTGCCGGCCGCCGCCCGCTGCTGAGTCACCGGCCCATTGTCGAGGCGCCGCGGCTGCCGGACGCGGCCATTTCTCTCATTTGTGTTTCGTGGCACGGCCGCCCCGCGTGGGCCAGGCTCGGGCACGCTTCACTGCCACAGCCTTTCCTGAACGACACGGCTTATGATGGGAAGACCGTGCAGGGAGCCCAGATGCTGAGCCCGACCGGCGTGGCGTCTGAGCCCCACGTGGACCCCGAAGCCACTGGCTGGTTGTGGGCCCTGCTCCCAGGGCGGTCCTGGGATGGCCACCCTGATGGGCCCTGGCTCCCCAGGGGGAGCTGGACGCAGGGAGCCCTGACCCCCAAGCGGATGTGCTTCTGGCCCTGCTAGGAGCATGTGGGGGCCACCCGGCAGGGGCGCCTGAACTCACACCCCGGTTGTTGTCCTGTCACCTGCGCCTGCAGGGCCGGTCTGCTGCCCAAGGGGCCTGGAGCGGGGCTTGGTCAGGCAGCGTCCCCACGCCCCATCCCCAGGACCCGCCTGGCGCCCTGAGCCTCAGTTTCCCATTGGGAGGGGGCAGACAGCTGCATGAGCTTGTGAGGGCCACATGGCACCGCGAGGCACCCGAGACCGGCACCGCCTGCCTGGGCCACTCCAGACCGGGAACCCTGTGGATAGAGTCTCCACACGGGCACTTTCCAACCGTCCGGCCCTCCTCCCGGAGGCCTGCGAGCGAGCCAGCGCCCTCCTCCTGATGCGCCCGTGCATGCGGCTGGGCTCCTGGGGGCCTGCTCGCCGCTTGGTCCCCTCGTGGGCCGGTGCTGGCGGCGGGATGCAGGCGGCCCTTTGCCAGCTGGTGCAGGTGAAGGCGGTCACTCGGCACAGGCCGCTGCCTCCCCTCCCACGGCCCGTCCGTCACGGTGCCCCCGTGGCCTGCGGCCTTCCCTGGGCTGCAACCAGGCCGTGGGCAAGGGCCACCCCCACCCGCCCAGTGCTCTGTCTGCTCTTCATCCATTCGTGAGCCATTCATCCCTCCGCGGAGCTCCCAGCAGGCTCCAGGCCGCCAGGCACTGGGGCTTCCCGGGAGCCAGGAGTGCCGGAGCCCCAGGAGGGCCGGAGGGCTCTCCCTTCCCAGCGGCCCCCACGTGGGACCTTAGCTCCAGAGCACTCGGCGCACAGAGGCCTCTGCCGCGCCAGTGCGCCAGTGGATGGAGAGGTGAAGAAGGGATGAAGGAACGAGTGAGGCCTTCCTTGGCTCCCAGGGGGCAGGGGTGGCCTATGACGAGCCTGGGTTGCAGGTGCCAGACCAGCCGCCCTGGAACGGCCTCCACTCTGACCCAGGGAGATGGGCCAGGCCAAGGTCAAGGGATGGGGCTGACCCTGGAAGCCCCGCCTGCCGGTGCTGTCGCTGCCTCACTCCCCCCTGCACCCGCCTGGAAGGGGCTGCGGCCCCCCCCTCCATGACCGCCCACGCGGAGCCTCTGGGGGGCCTTGATTCTGGGACAGCAGGGGTCAGAGGGCACAGGGCCCCGGCCACCAGCAGTCTTTGCTCCCAGGAAGCTCCGGGACCCCACACGCATGTGTCGCTCCCCACAATCGCTCCCTGCCCCCCCCCCCGCCCCCCGCTTGTCTGCCCCCACATACGGAATCAGGGCTCCCAGGAAGCTGGGCAGGTGGCGCAGGGTTTGAGAGGGAGGGAGTGGGGAGAGGCTAGGTCTATGCTGAAGCCCCGCCCCCCCCCCCCCCCCCCCCGCCCCAGCTGTCCGCTGCCCTGGGAGGGGCAGACACATCATCAGGGTCTGGAAAGGCCTGTGCAACAGGAGCAGGGCCCAGGCAGTCCCTCCAGTGCTGCCCCCACCGGGCTCTGACTCCATTAGCATCCTGTCATTCTTGGAGAGTGAGGGGCTGTTCAGGGCTGAGACCTGCCCTGTTGGTCACCAGCCCACAGTTGTCCTCATGAAGGTCTCTGTCCTGCCTGGGCTGCAGGGGCTTGGGACCCAAAGCCAGGCAGTGTGTCCGTGCCTCTCGGCTGTGGTTCCTTCACTGGGGGCTCAGGTCTGGGATGCAGGAGCGCCCTCCCCCCTCCAGGTGGCAAACCTGAGGCCAGAACCAATTGGGTGCCCAGTTTTCTGCAGGGGCCAGAGGCCCCGCCCCTGGAGGACATGGCCTCACCTTAGGGTCACTCAGTGGAGTGGGGGGGTGGTGTCCAGGTCTCTGCCCTTTTCTGGTCTCCCCGCCCCACCTGCCAGGAGATGGCTGGTTGATTAGGCAGCAAAGCCAGTGAGGGAGGGGGCTTCCCTGCAGTCCCCGCCCCCGTGGGCTCCATCCCCCTCCCTCTCCCCTCCCTGTCCTGCTGGAGCAGAGGGCAGCCGGGAGGTTTGCTGCATCCGCTGTGCTCCCTCCTCCTGCCCCCCAGCCCCGCCCCATAGCCCAGCTCCAGGGGAAAGCTTACCGGAGGCTGAGGAAGCCCAGGCTTCCAAGGTCAGGCCCTGAGGTCGCCCAGACTCGCTGGGAAACACAGGCCCCCAAAGCCAGGAACACCCACATCCCGTGTCCCATGTCCCCGGCAGGCAGGCAGTGTGGGGAGCAGGAGGGAGGGGTGTGTTCCCTCCTAGGAGCTCCCTGGGACCAGGGCCTCTGTCCTGCCCTCCCTCCCTGGCAGCCCCAGCATCTGCCCTCTGGGAGCTGTGGCGCAGGGTGGACCACCCCCGTGGTTGGAGCTTGGTGTGGTAACCCCCCTGCATCCGGCCCGGAGGAACCTGAGAGGAGCCCAGGGCAAGCAGACCGTCCAGGGCAGAGCTAGACCTCGACCTCCCCCCACCCCCACCCCTCACCCCAGAGAGAGGAGTTCTGGGGAGGGGGGCTCACAAAGGACAGGGATGGGCAGCGGTCCCTGAGAGCAGCCTGCACCCCTTCGGGTCTGGTGCCCCCTCTGAGCCCGGCCGCTCAAGCTCAGCCCCAAAGGGTGGGCTGCCTGGCGGTTTCCACCCTCGGTCCTCCTCCAGCCTCACCCAGACCCTGCGAGGGGCACTGGTCGTCTGGCCCATTTCGCAGACGGGGAACCGAGGCCTGGAGAAAATGTGCCGCAGCTCCCGCCAGGGCCATATCTGCAGGGTCTCCAGCCCTCAGGACCGAAGGCGACATTTCCTTTCCAAACTAGGAAGGTGGCATGGGGAGGGGCGGGGACCGCGGCCGGGAAGAGGGAGGGAAGGGCCTTTGCAAACCGAGGTGTGGATTGGGGCGGGCGGGAGCCCATTGGGGAGTCTCCTGGGGGACCAGCAGCCTGTCTGGTTTCCGGGCTCTGGCCTTTGGGGACGGGAGGGAAGGGCTCCCACCGGGGGCTCCCGGGACCGGGCGCCCAGAAAGCCACGCGGCTCGCGGCTTTCGTTGTTGCCAGGACCCTGCCCGCAGCCCGAACCGGGAGCGGGAGGCTGCGCAGCGTCCACAGGGGCGGCCGGTGCATGGGGAGCCCGCACAGTGCCAGCCCCGCGGGCTCAGCTCTGCAGGCGGCGCCGCAGGGCCGGGCGCTGGGGGACGGAGCTCCTGGCCGGCCGGGGAGTGCGGGGGGCGCGAGGGTCCCCTCTCCGGAGGTGCTGGCGGTTTGGGGTGCAGGGTGAGCTCCGCCCAGCTCAGGGGCGACGCAAACTGAAGGACAGAATTTGTAGGCAGATTCTGCAAGGTTCCTGGACGGGGCAGGAAAGCGTGGGAAACCGATTTCGTTTATTGCTCCCGCGGCGGAGGCTGCCGCGCGCCGTTGCTGGAGCCGTGCGGCGGGGCGGCCACTCGAGTCCTGATGGCGGCCCACGTGCGCTCCACTGGTGGGAGGGGGTCGTCAGGGGGTCCCTGCCCCTCTCCCAGGAGCCAGCTCCCTCCGGGCTCAGGCGGGGGCAGTTCAGGCCCCTGTGTATCTCCGTCTCTTCAATAAAAGTCAGAACAAAAAGAAAAAGCTCCTGAAATGCGCGTGAGGCATGTGCCCTCCTGAGCGACGGCCCAGCCAGGACCCAGAAGGCAGGAGCTGCGGAGAAATCCCGGCGCCCAGGAGGCTGCCCGTCTCCCTGGGACAGTGTCCTTCCGCGGGAGGAGCAGCTTTGCTGGAAATGGGCCACATGGCCCCCATTCCTGGGAAGTGCTGGTCGGGAGCACCCCAGCCCCCTCGGGGTGGGCGACCCCATCCAGAACCAGGATGGGTGCGGGCGCTGGGAGGCCTCCGCTCTGAGCAGCGCGGGAACGGCCTTGCCACCGGCGGCTCCGGCTCCGGAAGGAACTCCCTGTGTCCTGTCCTTGAAAGTGAGCTGGGGTGGACGGGAGCCCGGTGCTGGGCCGGCGCTGGGGGCCAGTGGGGCCGCCCCAAGAGGAGGAAACGGCCCCGTCGGTGGTAGGTGGTCTGTGCCCCATCGCACCCCCATTCTAGACCCAACTTCCCTGCTCACTGTCCACCCCGCAGGTCGGGCGGCAAGGCCTCTGCATCCAGTCCCTGAAGAGTCTCCGCGGGGCCCAGACCACCTCGCTCTCCCCTCTGCGCAGGGGGACCCCAAGGGGCTAGTCCCAGGTGGGCTCCAGCCTTTCCTGCTGCTCAGATCCGCTGGCATGCCCACCTGGGATGGGGCAGGCGAATGTGCCCACGGGGGGGTGGGGGGGGGGAAGCCGGCATCTCGGCCTGATCTAGTGGCCCCGCGGGGGGCGAGGGCTGCTGCTGGTGGTGGTGGTGTTGGTGGTGGGAGGGGGCCCTGGGGCAGCTGGGGTCTGAGAGGAGAGCCCATGTGAAAACTAAGGGCTTTCATTCTCTTAGCTACTCGGCCTCTCTGAGCAGGAATCAGGGGGTGAGCAATCTTGACCTGGAATCCCGGGGAGCCCAGAAACCGCTGGGGCAGAGCTTGGGGAGCACAAAGGCGGGGGGCGGGGGGACTCCAGCTTCAGTGCACACGGGCTCCCCCCACCCCAGTTGGGACCGGCCTCACTTGTTTCGACATGACCTTGCTCACTGCAGAGCTGCAGGGCCTGCTGAGCTGGCTCCCCCAAACCTGACCCTTTCCCACAGGAGGGCTGGTCCTGGGTCCCTGGCTGTGCTCCCCGCTGGCTGGGAGCCTGGAGGCTGGGAGCAGGCAGCGCTCTGGCTGAGGCGGCTCCTGTGAGGCGGGAGTCCGTGGTAAAGTCCTCTCTGCCTCCCCCTGACCCAGCGACAGTGATTGCAAGCCACAGAGGGCAGGGCACATCCACGCAGCGGCCCACAGCTCTCCGCCTCCACGGTCTGCGGGCCTGAGGCCCGTGCTCACTGGGGTGAGGCGGGTGCAGCCCCCAGGTGGCCTGGCCCACGCGTCTCCTGGGAGCTGGGCGCACTTTGAAAACTGCCCTGACACCTTTTAGTATCAACGAAATGAAAGCTGCCCCCCACTTCCCACACCTGTTCCCCCCAAGTCCCCCAAGTGTCTGCGGGCGGACACACAGTGGGGCCCAGGGGGACCTGCCCTGATGTTCCCTCCTTCCGGGCTCTGGGTCTGAGCTCTCGCTGGGACACCACAGGCCTGGCCAGCGGATCTCCTTCTAGGTCTGGCCACGCGGGGGCAGGGCCCAGCCAGGCCAGGACCATGGCCTTGGGGACGGCCTGCCTGTGCTCCTGAAGCTGAAGGGGCTGATGAGAGGGAGACCTGAAGGAGCTGCAGCGCCTTGGGGGGTTGGGGGGGGGGCTGGGGCCTGTCTCCCTGTCATCCCATCCTCATCTCTGGATCCCTCTCTTCCAGACAGGCCCTGAGCTGCACTCCCACCCCCACCCTAGCCTGCAGGGTCCTAGCAGGGCAGGAGGAAAGGGCCAGGGCAGCTGCTGGCCCCTGAGCCTGGAGGGAGCCCGGGCTCAGCCTGGCCAGGGTTCAGAGTTGTCATGGGCCTCCTGAGCTGAGGGAGGGAGCAAGAGAAGGCCTGTTGGAGCTGGGTGCCCCCAGAAGTCTGGGTCTCCCTAACCACAGGGTCTGCTGGCTGCCTCCAGGGCCTGGGGACTTGTGCTGAGCTGGGGTGGGGGTGGGAGGGCCCCTCTGCAGGGGGAGTGCTCACAGGCACCTTGCACTCTCCCAGGCCTCAGACCTAACCTTGCTGGGCGGTCTTGGGGTGCAGAGCATGAGGGTGACCTGGGTTCTCTCTGGCCAGCAGCCCAGACAGGTGAGGCCCACTGGCTGGAGCCTGCCCTGCTGGTGGCGGGGAGGGGGGGGGGGCGGTGTGGTGGCTCCAGAGCTCTGGGGATCACCCTGCTTCCACCAGCAGCCACCCTCCCCACCCCGCAGAGTGGGCCCTGGTCTCCAGGGGGCACAGAGAGTCTGAGGGACCCCCAGTCCAGCTCAAGGGAAAGATGGGGTTGGGGGTGGAGGGGGACAGACCCTGGAAGGACGCGGGTGGGCCCTGGGGCTGAGCAGCCTGGCACTCACTCCCCCTCCGAGGGCAACACTCACCTAAGGGCTGAACCAGCGAGGCAGCGGCCAGTGAGAACCAAGCCAGGCAGGGATCACCGTCTCCTTCTAGGCGGGCGAGCCCAGCAAGCGCAAGACTGGACACCCCGGGCAGTGGGAGCCACGTCGGGGTTCGAATTCCACGGGCGGCTGATGGTTGAGGAGGCGCGAGGGCGGAAGGCCCGGCCCATGCCCCGCTGGCCCCTGCGAAGCCGCTGGTCCTGCTTCTCCTCCGGGGCGCGTTGGCCCAGCGCCCCTCGTGATCGAGGCCTCTGCTGGCTGAGGGTCCCTCATCACCTCCTTTACAGCCAGGGCGCGGGTCCGAGTGCAGGTCCCAGGGGAGGCGCTGCAGATCTCACTGCGGGTCTCACACGGGGAGGGGGCACGGCCGGGAGGCCCCCAGGCGGCACAGCCCTGACCCCTTCCTTCCAGGCTCAGGTTCCCGCTGAGGCGGCGGAGTCTGCAGCCGCAGGACCCTGGTTCTCCAAAGGCGCCGGGTCAGGCCTCCGCTTCCTTGCAATTCGTTCTTGAACCCCCGACAGACGACAGAAGAATTCCCACTGTCCCCACGAGCCCTGCCTGTGCCCAGCCCGGCCTCTGCACGGCTCCGTGGGTGAGGGTGAGGGCTCCCCCCGCCCTCCTCCACCTGCTACACCGGCCCTCCCTCCCTCCCCAACACACCTGGGCCCAGCGCAGGGGGAGTGTCCCCGAGGCCCTGGTCCCTAAGGTGGCCCAGCTCCGGGTGCCCGCCGGTACTCACCTGGGGCCGGGAGGCAGGAGTGAGCGCGCAGGCTGCCCGGGCAGCGAGGTGCGGGACGCCCTGTGTGCGGCGGGCTGCCCCGCGCTGCCTCCCGGTGCCCGCGCCTTTCCGCCTGCAGCTCCGCGCGGACCCAGGGCGGCGGGTCTGAGTGTCGCCCGCCCGCCCCGCCGGCCGGGCAGCGGCGAGCGCGGAGCTGGCGGCGCTGGCGCTGCTGTTTCTGAGCCGCGGAGCCCGGAGCAGCGGCGGCTGGGTGTGGGGAGGGGAGGGGCGGGGGCCGGAGGCCCGAGGGGGCGGCCCGGAGGGGGCTTCGGAGGAGCCGGGTTCGGCCCGGGCGCGCGGACCCCGACACCCCCGGGGGCGACCGCGGATCAGGGGCGGGGACCCAGGGGACTCCGGGAGAAAGCGCGCGGGGGCCACGGCGAACGCCAAGCGGTGTCATTAGCACTAAAATTCGAGACCACGAAGCAAAAGCAGCCCGACCCGCGTCGGAACTGTGGGCGCGCTCGCCCCTGCCGCCCAGGAAGGCGCCCGGCAAACGCAGCCGCCACCCCATCCCCGCGGCGGGGCGGGAGCGGCCGCGCGACGAGACGCAGGGAAGGTGGGGGGGGGGGCAGTCCCCTCGCCTCCGGGGCCACCTGGGTCCTTTTAAAGTGTCCGGGGTGCGGGCCCCGGGAGGGAGCGCCCAGCCCGGCGTGTTTTCTTAAAGGGCCAGTTCCGCGCGGCGCTGGGAACGGGGGTGGGGGCAGGGGGCGGGGGGAGAGAGAAGTGAGGCGAAGCCCGGGAAGGCCGCGGAGAGCCCCCCAATCCCGCGCGGCGGCGGCGGGCGGCGGCGGCGGCGCGACGATGAGGATGATGAATACATGGCAAAGTTTTTTTGGCCCCGGCGAGGGGTGTCAGATTGAGCGCTCTGTGCGCATGTGCGAAGGTGTCCAAACTGACAATGCTGGGGAGATGAAGATAGTGTGTGGCTGCTTCTGGACTCCAGGAGGAGGAGAGAGATTCCGCGAGCCGACACCATGCGATCCAAGGCGAGGGCGCGGAAGCTAGCCAAGAGTAAGTCTCCCGCGCGGCCCGTCGCGCCGCCGGCCCGGGCCGCGGGGCCGGGGCGCCCGGGCCAGGGGTGCGCGTCGGGGCGCGGCCGGCGCGCCCCAGGCTCCCGGCCCCCGAATCGCCGGCGCGGCTCGGGGGCTGCTCCGCCTCCCGCGCTCCGGGGCGGCCGGGCTCGGCGCGGAGGCTCGGGGCGCAGGGCCGCGCGCTCCCCGAAGGCGCCGGCCCCCTCCTCGCCGAACCCCCTCCCCCCCCCCCTTGTCAGGCGCGCGGGCCCGGGACCCCGGGGCGCGCGGTGGGGGCCGGGGAGGGGGGCGGAGGGGGAGGGCGGGGGGTGGAGGGGAGCGAAAAGCGAAAGTTAGCGAAAAGTTGACGAAAGGGGAGAGCAACTTTTCCTCCTCGCTCGCTCTCGCTCCCTCCGCGCGGCTCGGTCCCGGGCAAGTCATATTCCGGGCTTTTGGAATAGTGGGCGCTAGAGCACCGCCTTTGGCGGCCGCCAGCCGGGCGCGGAGGAGGGAGACCCCGGGCCGGGAGGGGCGGAGGAGGGGGCGCGGGCCGGCGCCCACCGGCTCCCAGGGCGCGAGGCGGCGGTGGCGCAGGCGGGACGGCCGCCGGCTCTCGGGGAGCAAAATGGAGCCGTTTCCCGGGGCTCGGAACTGTGGCCGCGAAGTGCATTCCCAGCCGGTGCCCCGCGCGGCGGAGGGCGCTCCTGCCCGGCTCGGCAGCCCACGCGGGCGCCCGGCGCCGGTGCCTCCGGCTGGAGTGTCCCCGCCCGGCCGCCTCCGACCCGCCGCCGCCGCCGCCTGCGCCCTCGGCCCCGCTAGGACCCTTCCGCGCCCGCTCGCCGCGAGGCCGGTCGGGGACAGGGCTGCCCCGGCCAGACTGCCCGGCCCGGGTCTTACTTTCTCTTTCGCTGCGTCTCCGCGGAGCCCGGGCTCCGGCTCCCAGCCCCGCCGCCTCTAGGTCCTCGCCGCCGGTCTCCGCCGCGGGCCGGGCCGGGCGCTCCCGCCGCCTGCATGGCCGCCCGCCCCCAGCGCCCCGGCCGCCCGCGCGCCCTCCACCCCCAGCGTCGGCGCCATCGGCCCGCGAGGCCCCTGGGCCCGGGGCTGCGGCCCGAGAGGCGGCAGGTGGGGGCGGCGGCGGCGGGCGAGTGCGGCTCCCGCAGCCCTGGCCCAGGCCCGGGTGCAGCGAAGCGGCGAGCGCCGCACCAAGTGGAACCCGCGCCTCCCGCTCTCGCCGCCCCCTGCGCCGCCGTCGCCGCCCCGGTGCACAGGGAGCCGGCCGCTGCCCCGGGGCTCTCTGCCGACCACCGCGCCGCTCAGCCCGCCGCCGCCCTCGGCCTGACCCTGCCGGCCCGGCCTCGCTGCACTGGGGCCAACCCCAAGCGTGAGCTGGTGGGCGGACACTCGCCACAGTTTTCGGAAGAAGTTCTGTTCTCCGGGTTCGGCATTGGGCCCAGCTCCGCCGGACCGCGGCCGCGGTCACAGCCGCAGCCCCCTGCCCGGTGAGGCCGCCGGGGAAAAGCAGCTCCCCGCTGCGGCGGGAGGCCCGGACCCCGCGCGCCCGTTGGGGACCTTCCTGGAAGCGCCTTCCCCGCCAGCCTCCGCTCCCAGAGCCCCGGCCGCAGCCTCCCGTGACCTCTGGCCCCTCTTGGTGCGAACAAGGCCTTGGTTCCTCCGCTGGCCGAGCTGCCCCAGTGCCCCCTGCGTCCCTGCGGGCGTGGGGGTGCACGTGCGTGTGCATTTTCTGTCTGCGTGTGCGGGGTCCACTGGAGCCCAGCCTGGCCGCCGTGGCCACCTCTCCTGGCCTTCGCGGCAAGCGAGAGGCAGCTGAAAACTCCGCCGGCAGCGGCCTGGCCCTCGGCTCTGTCTGCTCCTCCCGCAGGTGGAGGAGGTGCCGCTCGCGGGGGCAGCAGGGCCAGGCTGTGCTCAGGCCCCAGAGAGGTGCCTGGCGGTGCCCTCCCGCCCACAGGGCCTGAGGCCCAAGGCTGGGACCAGGACCAGGACCGGGACCCGGACGGAGACCGGGACCAGGGAGCGCGGCTTCCCTGCCCTGGGTCCTGGGTGAGGACTTGCACGACTTGCACTGAGAGCAGGTCTGTCAGGCCCAGGCCCCGCTGGAGCCCGCAGCAGGGCCAGAACCGGGGAGCCCTCCCTCTGGGGCCCCATGAGCCCGGTGGCTGCCCCCAACCGTCCCCAACAAGGTGGTCCAGGCAGGCCCAGAAAGGGTGGCCTGCCCTGCACAGAGCACAGGAGTCGCTGCGGAATTTAATGTGACAGGGCTTCCCGCCAACGTGGGCGTCCCTGGGGACCTGACCCCATTACCGGCATCTGAGGCAGGGACAGCCATGCCTGCCATGGACCCTCCCCTCCAGGCCACCTCCCAGCAGGGGGCAGGGGCTCGGTCTGAGGGGAGAGGTCATGGTTACAAGGCCAAGGCGAGTGTGAGTGTGCAGGGCTGGGCGGCGCTGCAGCCATGTGCTGGGCAGGGAAGGACAGTCGGGTCAGTGGGTGTGACCCCCAGGCACGGAGCTTGGAGGGCTGCCCCGGCGACCCTCTTCAAGGGGACCCTCCTGCCAGCCTGCATGCTGGTAGCACCTCGGGGGCCCACCCTGGGGACTCTGAGTGGAGCTTTTCCAAGGGCAGAGGCGACTGGGCGCCCAGGCCTGCCCTCCAGTTGCTGGGGACCCACCAGGTCCTCAGCCTGCGCCCGGGAGGCAGGGGCCGCGGGCTCAGGTGGCCAGGCTTCCCTCCCACAGGCCTGCCTTCCTGGCCGGCAGGGAAGGGAGCTGCCCCTGCCCCCACTGAACAAGGAAACGCCTGACGGAGCTTTGTTTCCGCCTCTGTTGTGAGCCAGGTGGGCAGGTGGGGGGTCTGCACAGCGGCAGTGCCCTCCTGACCTCTGTGCTTGGGGGGGGGGGTGAGGGGAAGGATGGGCCGGGAGACTGAGAGACTGTGCCCAGCCAGGGCCTGACCCGCGTGGAGGGGACACCCCATGTCTTAGACGCCACTTTTCTCAGCGCTGGGATGCCGTCCTCAGGGTGCCGGCCGCCAGCCGCCAGCCCCTGGGTGTGCCGGGGCTGCTGTCTCCCCAGACCAGCACTTGTGAGTCTCCTGTGTGTTCCAGGGGGATGGGTGCGACCCGCTGCGGGATGTGTGCAACCGGCTGGGGGAGCGAGCCGGGCTGGAGGCTGAGTGCCTAGCCCGTTCTGTTCCGTCTCCCCACGAAACAGGCCAGGCCGCGTCTCCAAGGGCCCTGCCTTCCCCCTCTCCGGTCTGCCCGGTCCACAGGGCCTCGCCTCTGAGCCAGGATGCAGCCTCCTGTTTGGATGCCGGCAGCCAGTGTCCCAGGAGTGGAGCCACTAGCCCGCTTCGGGCGAAAACACAGGAAGAGGCGGAGGGGCGGGGGCAGGGCTGGCGGCCAAGGCCAGGTGCCCCGCGGCGCGCAGAAGCCCGCGGGCTCTCATTTCGCCGGGCGGGCCGGTGGGTGTGCATGCAGTGCCCAGGCCTGCGGGGGAAGGCGGGGTGGCGGAGTCCTGTTCGTGCAGTGACCTGCAGGCGGCCGCCCCCGGGAAGGGCACCTCTGCTTTCCAGGGTCCGAACACAGAGCCCTCGGCTGCTCCTCCTGCCCCCGCTTCCCCGGAGCAGCAGGCTGGGCCTCCCCCATGGCAGCCTGGGCTTCCGGGCGCCCTCCGTCCCCCTCTGGGCGGAGCGCGGGGCAGGGTCCTGGTCCCCGTTGGTGTTCAGAGGCCAGGTGCTGGCGGTGGGGCCCGGGGGGCTCCCCCACTGGCCCCTGGGGAGGCGAGCCAGCTCTCTGGGCCACTTTGGGCGCGATTAGCCCCCTGTTTTATTCAATTAGGAGGCAATTAGGGAGCCTTGGGGGGCTGGGCTGGTAATTAAGGTGCTGTGTAATTAGAGTTTCAACAAAAATTATCCAGGATTAAAAATCCTTTCAGTGATTTCGTTTAAAAAATTTCAAATAGCGCTAAATGCAGTTTATCAGGTTTTGAATCAAACCCGGTAACAAGTCTTGGACGCTACAGCTCAGGTCTCGGGCGGGAGGAACTGCCTGCCCCTGAGAGAGAAACTTCTCGCAGCGAAGGGAACGGAACCGAGAGCCGAAGTGCCTCGCAGCGGGTACGGGCGGCCGAGGGCCGACTGGGGCGCGGGGCCTGGGAGCCAGAGCTGAGCCCGTGGTCGCCGCGGCGGCTCCCGGATCTCCGCATAAAAAGTTACGGCGAATTATCACGCGGAGGCAGCATCCCGTCTACCCGCTCAGCGGGTCCTCAGCGAGGGCTGCGCCCAGCGCCCTGGTCCCATCCCAAAGGTCTTTGCCTTTTAGCTTCCAGGACGGGTGGGGTCCGCCCCCACCCCCTCCCCTTTGGACCCTGGCTTAGTCTCCGCAGGGAGGTGGGGGGCGGGCCGGGGACCCGTTCTCAGTTGCTTCTCCAACAGTGACCCAGGCTCAGAGAGATGCGGGAACCTGGGAGCGGAGCCTGGACTAAGTGGGGGGCGGGGGAGGGGGTTCAGAGGTGGCGGCCTGAGGGGGAGGGTGGGGTCAGGCTTTCCAGGGTTGACCCCGCCTCCCTGGGCCGCTTGGCCAGCACAGCTCAGGCAGGCGGCCCCCGCCCTGTGCATGGGCTCCACACACCTGTCCGCCGGGAGCCTGGAGCCAGCAGCAGCCTGAGCCCTGCCCGTCCCTGCCCACCTTCAGCCGCGAGGGAGAAGGTCAAGGCTCCCCCGGAGGCTCCCCTGGCCCACGTGGAAGACAGGACCCCAGCCCTTCCCTGCCCTGTGGAGGGTGCAGTGTGGCTGCTGGCCCCACTTTTAGGGGTAAGACATCCAGGCCCAGACACAGAGAGGTCAAGGAACCATGCAGGTCACACAGCAAGTTCAGGCTTCGGGGGAGGGTCGCTTCCATGAAGGCCCCCGGGTTTCTTGTTTAGCTCTCCCCACAAACTGCAAAGGGCAGGTCTCCGCAGGACGTACTTCTAATGCGTCGGCTTT